TGGCTCATGGGCATCCTGCTGTCCACCACGAAAACTCAGGTCCCTTTCCCCTACGCTGCCCTCCAGCAGGTCAGTCCCCAACCTATACTGGCATATGGGGTTATTCTTTCCTAGGTGCAAAATTCTACACTTGACCTTGTTGAATTTCATAAGATTTCTCCCTGTCCAGCCCTCCAGCCTGTCTAAGTCTCTTTGAATGGCTGCACAGCCTTCTGGTGTGTCAGTCACACCTGCCAGTTTTGTGTCATCAGCAAACTTGCTGACAACGCTCTCTAATCCTTCGTCCAGATCATTGATGAATATGTTGAACAGCACCAGCCCCAGTACTGACCCCTGAGGGACCCCACTAGACACAGGCCGCCAGATAGACTCTGCCCCATTGACCACAACTCTCTGACTTCTTCTCTTCAACTAGTTAGTGACCCACCTCACTACTTGGTCATCCAGACCACACTGCCTCAGTTTACCTATGAGGATGCTGTGGGAGACGGTGTCAAATCCCTTGCTGATATCCAGATAGACCACATCCACTGCATGGCCACCATCCACCCACCTGGTTGTGTCTTCATAAAAGGCTATCAGGTTGGTCAGACATGACTTCCCCTTAGCAAAGCCATGCTGACTGCTCCTAATAACCTTCTTATCCTTGATACGCCCAGAGACTGCCAAGGATAGGATGTTCTATTTTCTGAGGTAATAACACACTACTGCAAATGTAGCTACAAAACCAGCCACATCCCAGACTTGTTAACTGCAAAGGACAAGTTAAACCATCCTGACTAAACATGGAACTGGATTGTCTTTCCACTTTCAGAAATTCAGAGATGGGATTTTCTGAGGAAATCAGTACTGGCCAAAGATTTTCCTGCAGAAATTATCAGCTCAAGGCTATAAAACATCCTCCATCCACCTGACTCTACACGGGCCTAGGCCCATCTTCAGGTTTTTTAGTGAAACAGTTTTCACATTTGAAGAAGTGCATGATCTCACCTACCATGAGATTTAACAAAACTTTGATCTCATCTAATACCTTAAGCTTAGAACAGGCAACAATAGCTGCAAATTCCAAGCATGAAAAAATGAGTAACTAAAGGGGACACACACAAAAAAAAATTGTTGGTCTAAGTGGGTTGGATTTTTAGGGGATTTTTGGTTTGGTTTTGCCATTAACTCGAACGGAAACGAGATCAGGACCTAACTGTAGTACGACATATTGCCCTCTGTGGTAATTACTGGCCTGTGTTGGCGTTCTAAAGCAGGACGCCTCACACCGACAATTTGCAAATACTGGGAAATGCAAGAATTTCACAACAGGTCACATATCACAGGCAATACTCTTGGCAAAAACAGTGTTGATAAATTTAGCTAAGCTGTTACAACAGACTTTGGTATGTAAGACATTACATCTAGAGAAAAGAACAAGAAAGAAACTTTTTACAGCGTTTAACAAATATGAACAGAAAGCAGTGGACAACAGAAAGAATTCCTCAAGCCTGAGTGCACCATTTGGTATACATGCATTTGATTTTGCTTTGAGTGAATGAATGAACGAATGAATGAATCAATCAATCAATCAATCCATCAATGATTTCCATTGCCCAGATAAGCACTTGCCTGAATGGCAATTTTCCTCAGGTACCTTCAGATAAAGAGAACTCACACAACCACTTACCTTGCTTGGAAGACTCTCCCAAATGCTCCTTCCCCAATATCTCTCACATATTCAATATTGTTTCTTGGATACTCCAGGCTGAGCAATTTTGGATTGAGAAGGAGGGGCATCCGCTGGTACATTGGGTTGGGGTGCAGCCGGTCCAGGAGGAGTTCGGAGGGCAGAGTGGTGAGTGTTGGTGTCTCTGACTCCCTGAAACAACAGAGTGGTTTTTGGTCAGTGTGTGCACAGCTCTCAACCAGGAGATAACTACCTGCATCTCCTCCAGGGCTGGTTTATTTAAGGTGGAAAAGTGAGGTGCAGCAGGACTGTTGAAGGAGCCTTGCAGCAAGGTGTCCCCAAAACATGACCCCAAAACAGCCACCAGGCCACCTTCTGCCCTAGCACAGAGAATCGCCAGGTCTTGCATCGGGCTGCCACAGGCAAAGGGACGGCTGCTCCTCCTCTACCAGGCACTTGCATGACTATGCTCTCAGAAATAGGCAAGCTCTCTTCCAGAGCAGCATTTATTGTCTTGAATTAAGTCCCTAGCTTTACCTTTTTTTGGTTTTCCACTGCTTTCGACGACGGCAGCAAACCAGAGTGGCAATGCCAAGAATCATAACCAGGGCAAAGCTGGAGATGATCGAGATTATAACAGTCATGGAGTATGTAGGGGAAAAGGGAGGAGGAGGGAGACCTGGAGTCTCTCCATTTGGTCTTCTTGTTCCTAGTGACGACAATGCTGTAACATAAAAAAAAAATCAGCAGGTTGTGCCTCTGCTAGTTTACTAGCCTTTCTCTAAGAGGTATTCAAGGAGCTAGTCTGATGTCCTGGGAATTTCTGACATTACAGATATGACTGTGTGACTGCATGAGAGGACCATATTAGGGAAGCCTGATCTGCAAGAGGTAAACCCCATTTCTGCTTGCCAAGTGTGAAACGCAGGATCTGGTAAAGACCAAGACACAGTTTCCATTGAGCTAGGAACACAACTGTGGTAAAGAATGCTTGCAAGAATTAGGGGTGGGAGGTCACATCTGATGGTCTCAACAGTATTCAAATATACTAATGTCTGCAGTGGGAAAGATCAACAGTCTACAGTGTGAACCACGATGTATCATATGTCCTAAAAGGAATCTGCAGGCAGGAGTGTAAGACCAAGTAAGTACACAGCGATACTTTCCTGAAATACCCTCTTGCCTCCAGCAATATTTATCTCAGTGTCTTTATGGGACGAATACAATAAACTAGTGTAAAATACATTCGGCAGTATCACTAGGAAAGAAAATATTCAGGTAGCCACTTGCTGAGTATTTTCAGAGACATTCCAGAAAATGCTAATCTGTACATGCAGTGCTTGAGGACAGAAAGAAATTTAAAACATTCTTTTTAAGGCCAGATAAAGTGCTACTGACTTAGGTTCTCTTAAGTACAGAGCACGCCTGTTCTCTGTGCAGGCAGAATTGTCTTATTTCCAAACGCTAAGAACCAGGAACTGTGCATCATAGATGAAATATGTTTCAAAAATTGTTCTGTTCTTTGAACAAGAAATAACAGAAAGACCTCATTTCAACATCACAGAGCAGAGATGTCTCTATCTTTTCCAGATTTGTTTTTAGTAAAAATTGGTTTATATTATTTAAAAAAAAATTATTACAAAAAAATGTCACCAGAAGGGAAATAACTTTGGAAAACAGCCTGAACCTCTGCCTTCGCCTCAAAACAGAGTGTGGTAAATCCATTATTTATTACACCACAGGATATTTGATTTTATCCTTTGGCCTTAATGTAATCTGGGGTGAGATGTTTGATTTGCCTGTCTTTATTATCTCATCTTTAAGGTGGGAAGGTTACACCTTCTGGTTCAAGATGCCGAAAGAACCTATGAGAAGAACTAAGATTGGATGAATCCAGAACAGATCAGTGCAGCCATGAGTGCTCAGGGTGCAAACACCTTGCGCATGGCCACAGAAAAAACCACACTGGCAGAAGTCATAAATGCAGTTGCCTACCATCTCCACAGGGAGACACGCTGCAGTATTCCCAGGTCACGGATGGGTCTTTTGTGTAGCACCAGGGACGTTCGTTCTCACCTCCTGGATTGCGGCAGTAATTCTCGGCATCAGACAGCTCAGGGAAAACTTGAGGAGTCCTTCTGTGCAAGTGGGGAGCCTTGGAGGAGGAAACAAATTGGGTTGGTGTTTCAGTAAACATTTCCCTGCTGTCATGAGCAAAATAAACAGGCAAAATAAAGGACCAAAGAAAGGCAGAGATAAAACAGCCTTTCAGTAGCTTGCTAAAACAGCAGAGAATGCATGTTGCCACTGGAAGGACAAATGCAGATTGAAACGTGAAGGGCACGTGAAACACCAGCGAATTCAAAAGTAAAGGCAACCTGTCCCCTAAGCAGCCCTTCCACTGGGCCTGGGCTTTGGAAAATCAGACCTCGAGCGTGGCTCTCTCTTCAGTGGGTCTCACACTGATACACACCTGGTCGCTCCACTTCTGACAGGGAATGCCGGAGGCTGTGACATTGGCCCAACCCTGGTAAAACTGACCATTGCCGCTGTAGCAAGTTCCTGGAGGGAAAAAAAATTAAAAAAAAAAAGGGATCAAGGCATCTCAGACATGTAGTGAGAACTCACAAGAGTAAAGTTGACGTTGTTACACAAGAGTATGTGGCAATTAGTACCCAATCTGAAGCAGGCTGAAGGATCAGATAGCTGCAGGGAGGGAACTGCTTCACCTCCTGTTCACACTTAGGTGGACTTTGAGCTCAATACGTTAGAACAAATCTGGTAAAACTCCAAACAGGGAACAGGCACTCTTTCAGATTGAGAAAGGAGACCACGTGCCTGTGATAGTTCCACTGCATCTGCCCAGTTCATAGCGTTTCCCCACAGAAAGCACAGAGCAGAACCATGGCGAAGCCACCCATGCCAAACCAAGGCAGAAAGCAAATTGCAGCACTAGTTGCATGATCTTCAGCCTGCACTCTTATGGGGATGCTAACAGGAAGACACACACATCACGAGTAGGTAGGGGAGGGCCAGGATTCATAAAGTCCCATGGTGCTATCCCTCCTCCCTGCCTCTGTATGGTGCTTGTCCTCCTAAACTGAGTGTCTGGAAGCAGCCTATCATTTCCAGTATCCATGGAAACCACACACGGATGACAGCTACAGATGTGAAAGAATAGCATCAGTATAAATACTATTCTTTATAACGAAGAATGTGTAGTTCACTTGTCCTGTTTTTTTCTGTAGAAGAAACACAATAAATGCATCATGAGAACTATCTGCTCTTCTCTTCTTGCATTACCCACTGCACTCACAGTTGCAGTTATGGGTCTTCTGTAGACCCATAGATTTCTGAATATCCACCAGGCACTACATATGGGTAGATAGAAAAACCGTAATGACAATGTTTTCTGCACGTGAGTGCGCTCAAACATGGGATCTAATTCCTGCAGCCCAAGGCATGCAAACACCTCAGTATAGGAATGGCCATGGACTTCATGAGTACACTTAATCCACCATGAATGCAAAGTAAAATGCTCTAACCTGGGCTTCCTTGACTGATATGTAAGCCTCTGTGTTATGCTTCACATCTGCAACCAGCTAGCAGCTGCCACAAGACCAGCACCTGTAGCTCTGAAGTGGTATAAAATTTTGTCAAGCTGCCCTAGAACACAGTTGTGTGTCTGAGCCCAGCATGTTAAATGTCTACGCTTCAAAGGCTAGGAAAGCAATGGCTGAAACCTGCCTCATGACTGAACTAGTAATTGACAGAAAAAATAAAATTGGACAGACCTGAAACAATCAGACACCTGATCGCGTGTATGACACCTTAGAGGAGCACTGAGGAAAGCATTAGGGGCAACAGCAACAATAAGAAAGCACCCCCGAGTCCTTTGTGGTCTGGAAAATGCAGATGCTCTCATACATGGTCTTGCTACAATGAGGACAAAAGGAATAGCAAAGGTGGTCCTACTGGGCTTTAACGAATAACTTTGATGGACAAGGTAGAATATGGTTTGCTTCATGCTCCTCAAACCTTTGTACTCATAATAGTGGCTCTCAAGTAAAAAAGAGGGGAAAATATCACTAAAAGGTTACTCTTATGTCTCCCTGATGCATCACAATTTCCACCCTGAGAAAATACTGTGAAAGCTGAACAAAAACGTCACACATTTAGAGAGGAGACAGGGACCATGTCCTGAACTTGCAAACATCCAAGGGGAGGCTGAAACCATCCCACAAATGCACCACTCCTTTGCTGGCATCCCTCCCTTGTGCTTATTTCCCCAAGCCAGGGATGGCTGCAGCTGCAGGCTCTGAGCATTGGGCTGTGATGCTGGAGTGCTCATGCAGCGCTAAAGCACTTGTTTCTCAGGTGTGCAGCACTGGACACCTGGGTCCTCTTTGGCCAGGTAGAGCCAAGACCTTCTCATGAAAGAAAATTCCTCTCAATTTCACTTTTTTCACTTTCTCTTTTCATGCAGACGGTGCCCACCACTGCCAAATCTGTAGTCCTTGCTGGCTCAGAAGCATGACAGGAGAGATATTCTTTTTTCCAGTGTGGTAAGTTCAGTGGCTGAGCTTTAATCTGTATTTGCATGTCAGATGGAAAAGCTGGATGTGCATGTTTCAGCCATGACTAGCAACAGGGTTGAAGCCAACAGAAGTCATGGCTGTGCCACAGGGGATGGCTGGATCTCGCTGTTGGTCATGGGAGGTCATACAAGAAAGACACAGACTTCAGACATGATTGGAGGAGAGTGCTGGGGCCTTTTGGGCAAGAAGGTCTCTCAAGGCCAGCCTGACATAGACATTCATGCAGCTTATAAGGCTGGGATGACCTCAGTAGCAGTTTCAGAAGTACCAAATACAAGTAAAGCAAAACTAGAAGCAATGGGTAAAAAGAAGGGGGAAGAGCTGGAGGGAACAGTACCACCTAAAAGCATCATGACTCTCCAATTGCCTTCAACAGTTACCAGCCCACATTCTCCCCAAGCTCTGAAGAACTGGAAATATGTTTCCCTGTGCCTTGGATGTGGAAACTGAGGCACTCCCTAGTAATAAGCCAAATCCAGACACTCAGGATCAGAGTAAAACATAAAAAACGCTGTACAAGCTTCAGGTTCAAAAAAGAATATCATACCCACCCCTAGAAACATAGAACTTGGAGCAGTCTACTTACTGGTTATATTCTCCTTCTTAAAATCTGTAAAAATACAAAACAAGACAAGGGGTAAGGAGGAGTTTTCCAGAATGTGATATAACTGAGTGCTTGCTTAGGAGCATGCTATGGAAAAAGGTTCCCTCCTAGCAGTGCTTAAGTGGCTTGTTTCTTTGCAACGGCACCTGAATGACAATTTTGTGATCATTAAGATTGACTTCAGCATTGAGATCACTATGATCCTCCCAATAAAGATCCAGGCTCTATTTACTTGAGGGATTTTCCCCACAACTCAGTTGGATGAGACAGGCGAAGAGCTGAAGCTGCAGTCATAGTTCCGTGCACGGTATCCACCATCAGCCTTTACTTCAGTTGTAAATTATGGATCACACCCCTTCCCCCTCCCTCACCAAGAGCACAGCTCTCCGGACAATGTGCAGCGTGTGCCACCTTACCAAAGAAAGGGATGTGGGTGCAGGCGCTGGGATCTTGGTGCAGGCTGGGCAGCCTGTTGCATTCGGGAAGAGCGAGCAGCATCAGCCCTGGTTTGTAAATCCCCTTCTGAGAGTTTTCTTCCATTGAGAGCCATTCCTTAAAGCAGTAGAGATCCTTTACAGCAAGGCAATTCTCTCTACATTATTTTGCAAAAAATAGTGAAATACAGCAGTCAATGGCTTGGTAACAATGGCTGCACATAGCAGTGGTGTGCAGGGGTTATGCAGGCTGACAGAAATCCATTAATGGGGCTACTCTTCTTTAAGCCATGGCTCATAAACCGTAAAGAAAATTCTGTATAAAATGTAACATCTTCCTTTAGGAAACTCACAAGTCACATTTTCAGTGAAGCAGGGTTATGCTCAAAATACAACACACATTATAGTCTGTGAGGAATTCATGCCTATCTCTTCCTGCCTTCTCCTACTCATCAACATCATGTCTGGGAATTATCTTAGCATTTTTCAGTACTTTCTAAAAATATGACCTATCTTTTGTAAATTGTACATTTAAGTGCCATCCGTTAAAGGCAGGAGGTGAGATGCAATTCCTAATCTTCTTAAGCTAAATATTTGCCAGTATTTTTAATCTCACAGAATCACCTATCCAATGCTCTTCTTTCCTTCACAAATTTCAGTCCTTTATTTAATCGTCATATGTCCACAGAAAAACCTTTACAGTGCCTAGTAAAATAAGAGACCTAACTGTCTCCTACCTAATATATTACTTCCATAGCAATGTGAAACACTGACTGACAGGAAGTTCTTTGGATATTTAAATGTTCCTTAGATCAGGAGCTGTTTGCGAAGAGGGCCAAGGCAGAAATATCTGCTCTAGCAAAGAAGAAAGTAATAAAAAATGCAACCCCAAAGCTGTACCATGCTGGAAAGTTTGAGGATTTGTTGCATTAGGCAATTTGTAGGTGATTTGCTTATTTATGCACTCAACCTTGAGAGCTTGTGTTGCAAAATCAGCTTTGAAGTCACATGCATAGATTACTTTTGCTGAGCTCAGCTGAAGTCCTTTTTGGATCGACAACCTTTGTGGCCATCGCACAGAGATGCAGAAAGGCACCACTGGGGTCCCAGGTGAAGGTTTTAGCTGATGCATTTATGTGGGCTGATGCATTCTCTTTACTTATACAACAGTTTTGGCAAGAGCAGATGGCCATGAGTTTCGGTGATGACTACCATTACTGCAAACCTTCTAAAGCACCCAAAGGGCAGAGGCCAATAGGAATTCTACCAGGGCATCAATTCTTCTGCATCAGCAATGGATGCTCTTCAAGTTTGCAGGCTGAAGCCATTGAAGCCAAGCTGCTCTGTGCTTAGTTTTAGCCAGTGCTGGTTTATTCTCCCCTCACTTCCATGAAAGCCAGAATGCAGCCAGATGGCGTAATTTATCTTTTTTGTGTTAAACAAGTGGAACGGCAATGACCTTCTGTAGTAAAGAAATGTTTAGCTAGAGAAATGAGAGAATCTTGCATTTGAAGCATGGGCTGACACTTGGGAGATCTGGATTGCATTAGCTGCCTTCGCTTCCAAAGCCGGAGCATCCTTAAACAAGGCCCTTATTCAGTGTGCAACTGCAAAATAATGAAGACCATTCCTCTGCAACCTGGATCACTCTCGTGATAAAAACAAGTTATCTTCACCCACAAACCCAACCCAGGAGCATGGTGAGGCAGCCAGAGGGAGGTATGGTCAGTCGTCTTGAGCTGGGTTCATACCATTGTTATAACACTTAATCCTTAGCAGCAAGAGCTTGATGAGATCATATGCAAAGAATACTTCAGATTATTATTAGAAATTTCATGTCATGTAAATGACAGATGGACAAAGAACAGTAGCAGCAGAAAATGACAAGTAGGCCAGCAGAATTTCAGGGACCACAAAGGACTGTTTAAGAGGAGGTGGGTACACACAGACCCTACCAAAGTGAGACATTTCACAACAGGAGACTGTTCCCTGCAGCCTGGTCACTTCACATCAGCAACAGTTGAACACCAAATTGAGAGTTTTTCATTCACTATCACAGAAGCAGCTGGTGGTAAAAGCCAGAAGTAATTAAGAAGTATGAGATGATACATCACTTTCCCTTAAGAACAAGAAAACTAATCAAATTGCATCTTAACTTACATGAAGAGATTTTTTGCCCATGTTTGTTTTCTTCTGTTTCATTTCATCTTGTTTTACCCCTGATTATTTTTATAAAAGCTTTTCTCAGTCTGTTTATCAGTTGTTATTCTTGCTAGCTACCTTCCAAACCAAAATGAACATATAAAATTACATGAGGAGAGAAAAAAATGGCTCGGAGAATAAATAACAAGACAGAAACTCGTGAAAATATGTTAAGAGAACAATGTCCTCAAAAACTGGGAGATTTCTCCAGCCTCTGATATAGTTAAATTCATATCTGTGAAGTATTTCAGCTGAAAACTGGTGTAGTCTAGGCAGTTTCTGCAGAAAGGTATAAAGTTGTCAGTAAAAAAGAAGATAACTGGAAAGTAACCAAGACTGTATGAAATGTGCTCAAGAGGCACCAGAGGTCTCAACTGTTCAGAAGTATGTATTAGATGTCTGACTTATCAGACAGGTACTGGGTTAGGACTCTAGAAGAACTGTTATCCAGCTGACGTGCTCTGGGAACAGGAAACAGGAAGGATGCCATCCCAGGGCTCTTGTCATGAAGAAAGCTGCATTAAAATCACAGGGAAAAAAATCACTGAATGGAAAAAGCCATAACATTGACTTGTGGATTTGAAGAAAGATGATGCTAGGCCAGCCCGTTATGATTTAGACATATTTGCAAATGCCATGCCTGTTAGCTCGAGATCAAATGTAAGTTTATGCTAATTTATTTCACTCTGACATCAGAAGTGGCCCAGCAGTGCAGGTCTTCAGTCAAATCACCAGGAGATCTGGTCCTGCAGGGCTGCTCATGAGTGGGGTTTGGTAGATGAAGCAAGACCCAGCTCTCACTGAAATGCTTTGTGCAAAATCCTTAGCTGACAAATGTGCTGTCCATGCGCGGGTCAGATATGAATGCTGTCACACATCTTGAAAAAAGTCGGAGAAATCATATACTAAAGAGCACAACAACAAACAGCAGAACAACAAGGTGACAGGGAGGAATCTGTCAGCAAAGAGAAAGTTTCAATACTTGGCAGCATAACTATCTGTGGATACTTGCACATATACTTCTTCCATAGGATATATGCCATTGCTGAGCTGGCAGAGGAATATTGAACACCATAGGCGCCAAAATAGTCAAGCTTCGTACTGTGTTCTTCCTCTGCACCTTTGTTTTAGACATATTACAAGAGAAGCAATCAGAAAGGTCCAGATTAGAAAGACAACATGCTGCTGATTGCCCTTGAAAGCCCCTACATAATTTTAAAAGTAATTGCTGGTAGGCTACATCTGTCCCAGGTTCAGCTGGGGGTGTGCTTGCCATACTTGCAGAGACAGCTTGTATTTTACTTGAGACACTAGAGGTGGGGCTGCTTTATTCTAGTCTGAGAAGTTTGAGAAGATGTAAAATCTCACTGCAAAGAGGAAGAGAAGAAACTCAACTCCATGGTCATGGTGGGAGGACAAGAACTAATGTGGGAAGGGCTGCCCAGGAGGTTGCGTAGGGACGGACCAGTGTCTCTGTCGCTGGGGCGTGTTGTGCAAACACCTGTCAGCAGTGGATTAGCTAAAGTGAGAGATGCTTTGGACTCCTCGGGGTCCCTGCCAGCCCTATTTCAACACACACTTCTCTGCATATGGGAGGATACAAGAGCCAGACGAGAGGTTTGGTTTAGCAGGTACAGTTACACTGACAGTGTCTCTGGTGTCATCTTTTTTTGTTTCATCTTCACAGTGGTGGGAAGTGCTGAATGATTAGTGTATTGCCTTGGACAGATTTGTTGCATGCGCTGTGACCATATTTAGTCAAAATTACAACCAAGCAATTACTTTTAATAACAACGTACTTGACCTTGTAAGATTTAACCGATAGCAATATGATAATTATTTAAATCAATTATGTCAATCAAATAGGTATTTCTTTTCAACGTTGTCCGCTGAAAACCTGACATAATACAGACATGTGGGCCTCAAAGTCAATCTGTGTCCTAGCAATGAGCACAGCGAGAGCTGGATCAGGCCATCCTGGCGTATACGGAAGAGAGAGCAAAGGGAAAACCCACACAAATGAAAGCCTAGATGGCCTCTTTTAATTCTGTACCACTGCAGGTCTGGACAGACCATCATCGCTCTCCTGCTACCTACACATCCCCACAAAGTGAAAGATGAGCTTATTTTTTTCACTTACCTGCACACTGGTTTTGGAGCTGGCCCAGCTCCTGAGGGATTGCACTCCTGGAAGATGTAGTTACACAGCAGAGACTCAGCAGCTGGCTGGCAGAACGAGCTCACCATTTTCAGCTCAGTCCAGGCAGTGTGCACAAGCAGTTCTTGGGTCTCCTCTGGGTCCGCATAGGAGGAGTTGAAGAAAACAAGAGCATTCTTTGCCAAGATGGCATTACACACCTCACCTCTGTACGTGCTGCAGTAGCCTGCATCACCCTTGTAAAGCTTGCTGTCAAGGACAAGAGCATACACACACAGTAAGCTCACAGCCCTAAACACCTGCAGGAGCAGGATGCCTGGGCTCTGTTTCTGCATAAAGTGGCATCTGTACAGGACAGAGGGGAGGCTAGATGGTAATAACTGCTAAAAACAGTTAGCACCATCCAAAAATGAAATTTCTGCAAGGAAGCCCTGTGTGAGGGCAGGGCCCTCCTGGGGAGCTCCAATAGTGAGGCTCTGGCCAAAGATTGCTAGCAAAAACAAGAGTGCACAACAGTGACCTAGCATGCCCCCTCACCCTGCCCCCAGGTCCTAATGGGAAAACATTTTGTTTTCCGGCTTCCCTGCAGTAGAGATCGGTGGTGCTCCTTGCTGCACACCTGCGATAAGTCAGGATGTTTTTGCTCTGCTGACTAGCAACAGTTTAATTTTGGATGGGCTTGATGAGAAGGAGCCATGCAAGCCCCACCCAACGTGGACCAGGAAATTCTTCACAAGAGCAGACCAGCTAAACTTCTGGATGCCCCTCCCCAGCTCCTGCACTCCTCCTGACCCTGCCTTTCTTCCTCATGCATTTAGGTGGGAGACACAGGGAGGTGGAACACTCAAGCATCTGCAGTTTTCTTTCTGGTCCTTCCCTGGAAGGTCCATCCTCTCCTGCCTTCACTGTATCTCCCGCTTTGCAAACTCCTGCCACAAAGCATGGGGCCAGAGCTATGCGGGAGCAATAAAAAACACAGCAGGATCAGCTCCTTCATGGGGCATTTATTTACCTTTCCCACGTTTTTCACATCTAGCAGGAAGGGGCTGTCATCCCTCTCTCTCTGCTTCCCCACGGCCATCAAAAGGGAGCAGCGGAGCGAGGGCACACACAGGTCAGCTGTGCCCCCAGCAGCTCCCACAGCCACCCCATGGCTGCAAGGTCTGCGGGTAAGGACGTGCCCTCTGTTCAGGCAGTCTGTGGGATGCAGTGGCTTCAGTGGGGGGGAAACCTGGGAAAACAGCCTCCGCTGTGTGCGGAGGATGGCCAAATCGGGGAGGGAGGAGGGCTGGGTGCAGCTGTCCCCACCGCTCATTCGATCAGTGTAACTGAGGTCAGGGAGTTCAATTCACAACATGCCAACCATTTGGAGCAGGCAGCAGACCTATCAGTATCTTTGCCTTTTATTTCTTTTCCCTGTCCAGATAATCACCGATTGTCAACCCTAGGGGCTCTTGCTGGTTTTCTTCAGAAATCTAGAGGCACATGAATGAGCAATTTTACAGGGTGTCCAAATTCCTGCTTTTCAGAAGCAGCTCTCTGCAGCTGACACTGTCTGGCCCAGGTTTAGCTGCACTACTTTGGGCTCCATAACAATTTTTTTTAATTATTATTTTTCTTATATATCACATTGGCTAAAAAATACAGGAAGGCACAGATTCCTTGAAGTAATGCCCAAACAGCAGTGATGCTGTGACACCCTGCAGCACCCCAGGCTCCAAAGACACCCCTTCATGTGACAGGCACTTCTCAGCATACTGCAGTGGTTCCACAAGCTGTGACTTCTCCCTGCCACAGAGCAGGTTTCCCCACAGCACCCGTGCTGCACTCAACACCCTGCTGGAGCTGTCTTTGGCATGGCAGAGGTGGCACATTATTCACATTTTCCCGTGCTTAATCTGAAAAGTGCATCCTTCCTGTGTCCGAAGAAGAAAAGAAGGGCACAGGTGTGCATGGGCCAGCTGTGCTGCTGACTTTCATGGGCTGCAGAAGCGGCCTGGCAAGAGCTACCACCTCTAATATTGTGTTTCCTCACTTTTTTAAAAAAATCTGCAGGGAGACACAGACCAGGCTGCAATGAAGAAGGACTAACAACATGTTTCTCACAATGCCTTGTCACAGAAAGGCAATTGTATGCAGTAAATGTGCAGAACAACTAGGGGACAGAAGGGCTGAGCATTTCATCATTGTTCTCATGCCTGTCACATCTACACAAGTGCAGGTATAAGGCATAAGTCTGCCATCATCACTGAGTGGTCCCTAAATCACTTACAAGCTTCTGGAATCAGTCTTGCAAGCCCCTGTGAGGAAGACAATGGCCTTTGCAGGGAGCTCATGTTAGCAGAGCAGCAAAGCCATTTGCTCAGACTTTCTCAGGCTCAGCTCTTTTCTCTGAGGGCCAGCAGCTACCAGCTACCCTCCCAGGCTAACCTTCTCATTTTCCTTCCAGAGTGATCTACCAGTGCATCATGCGGAAATGTACTAGGACTCTAATTAGAAAAAAGTCAGCCAAATTGTTCAGTGCTCCAAAAAATATTAAAAGTGCATGTCTGATCACATACAAGTGGCTTTACCCATCCATAACTCTGATTGGAACAAATATCTAAACTTCTTTTGTCTTAATCTGGTGATTACTGAATAAAAATATATTTATGGGCTGTGTATATATAGGAGTTTACCTTGTTGTTAAGCTTTTGCCTGTAAATTTATACAGTCAGTGAAGCTGGAGATCACAGTGAAGTCTGTGATCAGAATTTACTTCAGCCTATTCTGCCTATTACCGTATTTTATATACCCTTATTGATAGGTGATTCATATGTGCTTGGTACAGAATCGTACTTATCTGCCTGGCCCCAATATCCAATTATGCCTGTATGAAGGATCTCAGTGTTCCCTTCAGGTCAACCTCATCTTTGTGCTTGGTGTCCAGAAGCCTGCTCCCCTCATTTAAGCCAAATTAACCAAATCCCCTTGGTTCATAATTCTACTCCTCTCTGGCCCAGGAAAAAAAAAAAAATCAAAAAAACAGCCAGCCAGAGAAAGTCACTCTTACCTCCACTCTGACAAGAGGCACCAGGTCCAGGAATTGTGATGAGCCAGAAGAAAGAAGAAATGGAAAAGACATCAGTGACAGTTTACTGCCCCTCTGAGATATGGGAGTTAAGATTTCCATGCTAGGAAATCTGTTTCAGACCTGTAAGGTCTCTGAAATGGATGCAGATAAATTCTGTCCTTATTTTGCACCTTCTCATGGAGAAGAAATGTTGAGCAATACTGGATGCTGCAGGGAAGAAGGAATGAGGAGGAGGAAGTGGATTGTTGACTGAAGTTCTTGCTGTGATGGATTGTTACACCCTCAGCCCACACTTTTACTCTTTTCCTTTGTCCTGTATAACCACCAGATAACCACGTACCCATTACTGCAGGCAGCAGCTGCAACACGTGGGAGAAACTAGGGTTGGAGGAGCAGTGCAGGCACATGGCTGTGGTCCCCCCTTGCAGCACCACAGGGAGCTGGGCTGTGCTGGAGCAGGGAGGAGGTGCTGAGCATCGACAAGGAGAGCGACACCTCTGCCCAGACACCCTTGGGATCTGGGACAAGGCCAAGGCAGGCTCCTGCTCAAGTTTAGGTGGCTGCTCTCCTCCTCCTGGGTACACAGAGCCTGGAGGACAGCTGTGCAGATTCTCGCTCCAGCCTAAAGCATCTGCCTTCTCTACTGCGTTTGCTGCCCTGCTTTGCGGGGCAGAGTCTTCCCTGGGCAAAAATCCGAAGTGTGGATGTGACATATGGTACCAAGTGCTGAGTCTTTTACAGGGCAGAGCTTGCTGCTAGGTCTCAAAGCCCAGTGTAAGAAAGGGCATCGTTTCCTCAACAGAGCAGAAGCTGAGGCACAGGGAAAAGGTCACGTGCACACCTGATTAACAGCAGGAGGACCTCCTGGACCCTACCACCCCATGTTTGGAGTTTCCGGGTGACTCCTCTTTCTTCTGACTAAACAACCCCTGCCTGTCCCAAGAAGGAGAGCACAAGTTGCCACCTTTGTCTTGGTGTGACAGGTGCTGTCAGCTAGTTCAGGCTGTTGGTATTTCTCCTCTTTGGATCATCTTTTCTCCATTTGGGAGATGCCTCTGGGAGCAGAGCTCCAGGCATGTCAGGGTACTGTGCTGACAGCAATCTCCCTGTTTTCTGGATGTAACCCCTTGAGAAGCCAAACTGCTCATGAAAGCTATTTTCACCTTGCTGTTACGTGATACTAATGCTGGGTCATGGCCATGACTTCCTCCGCATGGATGAACTTACCAAGTGTGCTTCTGGGACACAAAGTACAAGACAGCATCAAACATTCAGGAAACGACAGCTGTGCAAGTCTCCAAAGTGTAAAAATATATGAGGAAATAGCCTGGCGGAAGATGCACTTGTACTCAAATTTAGCCCCCCTACACACTAACAGCTCTGCAAGGCTTTTTCCTCCAGAGTAGTTCACACTCCTCTCCTCTCCCTCAGCCAGGAAGCTAGGACAGTGAGTGCAAGGGTAAAAATCAATTGCCCCTTCCTTCCCGGCATACCTGAAACACTGATGGTTGCTGCAGCTTTTGCAGCTCCGAAAGTTTTGCTGTGTTTATTCGTGGCGAGGCAAGTGAACAGGCCAGGTCGAGTGACATACACCTGCAGTCTGGAGTCAACCACTCTGTCCTTGACACTTTCTGCTATGGAACCTGCAGAAACCTAAGAGAGCAAAAGCCCAGTGCAGTGACATTTCCAACAAAGGCAAAAAAGCAAGCAAACAAAAAACCTAAGGACCCCAGCCTCAAGCATTTGAATTGGGAGAGAAAGATGTAGCAAGCAGATAGGAGTGGCAGAGAGCTACATCTGCGGGTGTTATTTTGGTGGTTTTGCAGCAGCTGCCTTCACAGACAAAAGCAAATGTTACAGACCTCTCCTATTTCACACTTCAGCAACACTTTCACAATTAATTTTTCAGAGGGCTGGGAACTCAGTTTTGCCCATATAATTGAGCTGGCTAATTACTTCATGACCTCTTCTAGTAGATTGTTTGCCTACTCATGCCTTAGCAAGGCAGGGGATGAAGTGGCTTTGTGGACCCTGGTTATACAGAGGAAGAAAAGAAAATAAGTTGGGATATAAACATTGCCACCGTTCCAGAGCAGTAAAGAGCAGAGCAAGCCCTTTGGCTCTGACATTTTGGCAGATACCTGACAGATTTTATCTCACACCTGGAAATACAGAAGGGGCTGCAGATGGGGTGATTTTGGCCAGTTCTTTTCCTGGGCCAGAAACACCCAGGTAAGTGAGCTTGGAGCTCACTGATTTTGGTCAGGAGTTTTCCTGCTCATTTGGGATTAAAGTATGAGAACACAGTATGCCAAGGCTCTGCTTTGCAAAGGCACTAGTAAGGAGCATCATTGCCTGATGATAGGAAACATCAAATTTAATTCAAGCTAGATGTGGTTGCCCATGAATTCCACCAGTGTGATTTGGCCATAAGGGCAGTGAGAGTTGTCTCCCTGGATCCACCCGAGTAAACCGCTGTACACATGGATCTATCTGAGACTTCCCTGGAGACTAGTAGAAACGTTTTCTCATTGGGAACTGTGTCTGTTAAGTGGTAACTGAAAAAGCAAGAAGGGATGTTTCAGTGTTGGATCACATCTTTAGTAATGATTGGTTTCTCTCAGAAAAGAAAATACTGAAAATAATATATTTGTTTGGCCTCCTTCAGGCTCAACCTGGAATAGTGACAAAGGAATGTGCGTGGAAATAAAACACTAAATAATCAGACCAACATAGTTTTTGTAAACTTTGCTTCAGAGATGGGTGCTATGCCAGTCAGTGTGCAAATACAGGGGCCAGGGGTATTTTTTGGCCTTATGTTGTGAAGGAAGTTCAAGTGGGTGTGAGCTCGGGGTATATTTTTGTCACAACTTTCTCTCTTGTTGCAGTGCTGGTCAGATTTATTTTTAGAATTTTTTCTCCCCAGAAATCACTCAGCGCTAAGATATTGCTGGGACCTTCATGGCAGAAAGGAGGAATTTCTTTACAACCTGCCTCATCATAAGGTCCTTG